GTCCCTTGGAAACCAAACCAGTCAATCCTAAAGGAAAACAATCCTGAACATTCATTGGAAGGACACACACTGAAGCTGAAACTCCAATACTCTGGCCACCTGATGCAAAGAGCTGACTCACTGGAAAAGACCCTAATGCTGGGAAAGATTGAGGGCAGGAGGAGAAGAGGGCAACAGAGAATGAGATGGTTAGATAGCAACACCAACTCAATGGACATGAGTTTGTGCAAACTCCAGAAGACAGTCAAGGACAGGGAAGCCTGGGGTCGCAAAGAGTCAGACATGACTTAGCGACTGGACAGCAACAAAAAAAGATATTGGAGACTGAAGTGTGGTGACAGGGGGAGATCTCAGGAGAAGGGGTCCTGTATGTCCAGGGCCGGATCCCCTAGACCACACAGGCCATAGTGAGAATGCTGACTTTTCCTTTGAGCGAGATGGGAGCCAAAAGAAGGTTTTAAAGGGAACCGCATGAGATGATTTATGCTTTCAAAAGATCCTTCTGGCTACCAGTGCAACAGGGGGCAAAAATAAAAAGATGTAACCTGTTAAGAGACTGTGGCAGGAATCCAGATGAAAAGTGGATGTGGCTTAGGCTGGTTTAAAATGGAAAGTGATTTCCCACGTGAAGCAGAAAGCTAGAATGATCAGGAGAACCAACGAAAATATGCCATGGTAAAAACACTAATGACAGACACATATTTTGCCAGGGGAGAGAGTAGGGGAGGGACAGACAGGAGAGTATTGGAGAAAATGGCAAAGATGGGGGCCGTTATGTAAAGTAATTAGCCTCCAACTAATAAAAATAAATGGAAAAAATAAAATAAAATAAAAAAATAAAAAAAATAAAATGGGAAAAAAAAAAGAAGGGCCTCAATCACACACACTCACACACACACACACACACACACAGAGGCTTGAAAGGCCTAGCTTTTCAGCTGAAGAACCAGGCGTTTAAGAGCCAGATGGCTCAGGTCCAAATCCCAGTGTCCTAACTATGTGACCTTGGGCAAGTCAATTAACTCTCTAGACCTCAGTCTCTTCATCTGTAAAATGGGGATTAAATGAGCCAATGGGTGTAAAGTTCTCAAAACAATGCCTGGCACGTGGCAAGCACTGCAGGAAAGCCAGTCCTTGTTAGTGTCACCTAACACTAATGATTATGATTGGATTTTGCAGAGCAGGCAGAAAGTCACAGGGGAAGCAGGTGAAGTCACAGTCTGGCAGAAGAGTGTGCTTAGGGAGAGAACACACGTGGGCTGCAACATCACCATGACCCAGAACCAATCCCTCCCTCTCTGCAGCTTAGGCTCCTCACCTGTGAAATGGACAGTCAACATGGTGAAGACTCGGGGAGCACGCAGAGGGTCTAGGAGCACTTCACTCCTGCAGGTGCCCCTGGGAGGGGCCAGGAGGCTTGGGAACTGGCCACCGAGCTTCCACAACCAAACCCCTCCAGCCCCAAGGGAGACCTTAAGTGCTTGAGAGGCATCAAGTCCGTGAAAACTGGTCTGCAAAACCAGCCCACTCAGCCTCCTTATAAACACTTTCATATACACAGACGGAAGGTCCTCGGCGTAGCCGCCAAGCCCTGAAAGTAAAATCACAAGGCTAATAAACACAAAGAAACAACTTCTCTGGGGCCCCGGGTCCTTGTAAAAGAAGCAGAAATAAAGATCTGATGCCCCCAGCAGGAGGCAAAGAAACCCACCTGCTGCTGTACACGGACACACAGGCCCATGTACACACATCCACACATTCCTACATGCACACACACATACCTGCCTCCCGCCCACACTCACCCACCAGTGTGCACGCAGGCACACACACAAGACCCATGTGCACACTCACAGGAACACACCCTCACCCTCAACGGGACATGCACACACATTTACATGTGCACACACCGAGAAGACTCTTGAGAGTCCCTTGGACTGCAAGGAGATCAAACCAGTCCATCTTAAAGGAAATCAACCCTGAACATTCATTGGAAGGACTGATGCTGAAGCTGAAGCTCCAATACTTTGGCCACCTGAAGCAAAGAGCCGACTCACTGGAAAAGACCCCGATGCTGGGAAAGATTGAAGGCGGGAGGAGAAGGGGATGACAGAGGATAAGATGGTTGGATGGCATCACCAACTCAATGGACATGCGTTTGAGCAAGCTCCAGGAGATGGTGAAGGACAGGGAAGCCTGGCGTGCTGCAGTCCATGGGATTGCAAAGTCAGACATGACTGAATGACTGAAGAACAACATATGGTCATGCTTCCTGGAATCAGATCAGGAGCAGAGGTGACCCAGAAACTCCAAGGCCTTGGGGATTATGGGATGGGCATCATAGAGGTTGCCTACAGGTAACCTGCAGTACAAGGGTGGGGTGTGGAGTGTGCACTCTGCCCCTTATGACACGATCCCCAACCTTTTTGGCACCAGAGACTGATTTCGTGGAAGACCATTTTTCTACTGACCAAGGTTCCGGGGGAGGGATGTTTCTGGATGATTCAAGTGCATTACATTTATTATGCCAATGCTGATCTGACAGGAGGCAGAGCTCAGGCAGTAATGAGAGCAATGGGGAGCAGCTATAAATACAGTACTCACCTGCTACTCACCTCCTGCTGTGACCCAGTCCCTAATCACAGACCAGCACCCATCCATGGCCCAGGGGGTTGTGGACCCCTGCCTTATGAGATGTGAGATGTGAGTGGCTTAATGTCTCTAAGCCTCAGTTTCTTCATCTGTCAAGTGGGGAGAGAAAGTCAGCCCCTTCTTCACAAGGTTTAGGGGAGGCTTCCCAGTTAATACATTCACAGTGCATGGCCCAGTGCCCGGCACATGGTATCCAATCAATCAAGTATCAGTCATTTATTGGCAGCTGTATTCACAGTATTTTCTGGAGATCTCAGTTTGAGAGGCACAGTCTGAGTCGCTCAGCCCGAAACCTCAGGCATGGCTACATGCAGGTGTTGACTTCTAAGATGCAATACAAGGGTGGCTACAGAGTGTGGGAGGGAATCAAAGGAAACAGAGGAGGCAGTCCCCACTCCACATGCTTGCTCAGCAGGGGAGTCCAGCCTTGTCTTGGGCCTGAGGGCACCGCGGGCCTCCTACCACAGGCCCCTCAGTCTCACCAGCTGTCACCTGGCCAGAGCTCTCCAAGGGGACACTGTGTGCAAGACAGGAATGTCATCAGCTTCAACGGCACACACCCCCTTGCCTACCCCATCTCTGCCAACACCTTGGAGGGGTTAGAGTCCCGGCCTTCCAGGCTCTTAAACCTCCTGACACTGCAAGGAAACCCCAAACTCAGCCCTACCAGCAGGGGCTGTGGGTGGCCACATGTCCTGGACTTAATTTTCCCTGACCCATGCTTGCCAAGGGCTTCCCTGGCGGCTCAGTGGTAAAGAATCCTCCTGCAATGCAGGAGACATGGGTTGAATCCCTGGGTCAGGAAGATCCCCTGGAGGAGGAAATGGCAACCCACTCCAATATTTTTGCCTGGGAAATCCCATGGGCAGAGGAGGCTGGCAGGCTCCAGTCCATGGGGTCGCAAAAGAGTCAGACACAACTTAGTGGCTGAACAACAACAGTGCCTACCAAGGCCCTCCATATTTGAATAGGATGTATACAAATACAGGACTCCAATGCATAGGGCTGAACCCTTGCCTGTTTCCCAATCCCAAATCCCAGGACCAGAGCCCTCTCCTAATCTCCAGGCTGTCTAAAGGGACCTGCACAACTGTTCACTCTTGGCAGGGGTTCTCCTTGGTGGTGGGGGGTAGGCAGGTGGGGAGGCAGCCATGCCCTATGTTCTTGTAACAGCACAGCCTCCAGTATCCATTCTCCTGCCCCCACCGCACGATAGAACCCCTGACTTTTAGCTGAGCCCAAGGTTGCTGATTCCGATCTCATTTCCCTGACTCCTTTGCAGCTAGCATCAAGTTCTGGCAAAGAGGAAGTGAGCCCATGTCATGGGCCAACTTCTGGGAACCCAGTTGACATGCAAGATTGGCCCATTCTTTCTTGCCCTTCCTCTATCCTGTTGCCTAGAGTACAGATGTGACAGCTGGAGCTCTAACCACCCTCTTAGACCACGAGGACAAAGGATGCTGGAGAGGGCCCTCAAGTGCCGGGACCCTGAGGACTGCTTGGAGCAGATCCGCCCTGGATTTCAAACCTTTATAAAAGCTATAAACACATTTCTCCACTGAAGCCAGTTATTTGGGGTCACCTGGTGGCTTAGACAGTTAAGAATCTGCTTGCAATGCAGGAGACCTGGGTTCAATCCCTGGGTCAGGAAAATTCCCCTGGAGAAGGGAATGTCTACCCACTCCAGTATTCTTGACTGGAGAATCTCATGGACAGAGGAGCCTGGTAGGTTCAGTCCATGGGGTCACAGAGTCAGAAACAACTGAGTGACTAATACTTATTAACACTTTACTTCCAACTAAACGTAATCCTGACTACTCTGCCCCTTACATAAGCTGCAGCCACCCCAAGTCATCCTATCTGAGTGTCACTGGGCTCAAAATCTCTGATATTTGGCCCTGAACATCAATGGCTCCTGTCTGAAGAACAGTGTCCAATCAGGCTGGACCTCCCCACACCCGTGAGATGACAGAAATAGAACATCTGGCTTCCCTCCCTTCCAAGGACAAATCCTACACTGGGAGGCAATGCCCCCAGCACTGTCTTGCCTGACCCTAAATTCCACACACCTATCCTACCTCCCCCAAAGTCCCAGCACGCTCTAGCAGAAGCGGAAGGATTCTCAGGACCACACGCCCACTGTGGGTGGGGAGAGTGGCAGGGGGCAAGATGAGGACCCTCCACCTGCCTCTCCCACTGCTTTGACCACTCAGGGAACTCAGAGCTTTGCAACAGGATCCTGGCACTTTGGGACACCAGCACCCTGAGGTGCTAACAGACAGGCTCTCCCAGGGCTGCGGGAAGTGTCCCAGAGGGCGTCGGCTGTCACACCTGAGCTGGGCCACACCTACCTTTCTCTGAAGCCGGGGCCAGGTCAATGAAACTGCGGCATTTTTCACCTTTGGGGGGAAAAAAAGAAAAGAAAGATTTTCAGAATATGAGAGGAAATGAGAGCTTCAGGCTTTCACCTCTCCCCCTCCCAGGAGCCCCAGACTGAGCGGCAGCCCAAGCATGTCTAACCTGAGCAGCCTCTTTCTCTAACCTTAATTCCCAGAAAGCCAATGCCCTGAGGAATGTGGATGGCAAAGATGCAAACTCAACTGAACAGCCCCCACTGTGATGCCACCTCCTGTCACCTCCCAGCACAATCATCCAGCCTTGTCGCTTGCACCTCCTCAAAGCCCTGTGGCCCTTTCCTCGGCCTCCACCCCATCCAGGCCCAGCAGGACGAGGGCAGAAGCCATCACTGGGCTCCCTGGGCCTCTGTCTGATCCACTCTCCACACTGCAGCTGGAGGGGTATTTTCACACCACACATTATGTCACAAGCACACATGCACGGACACACACTCTTGCTCAAAACACCATCCCAAAATCAAGCCCAGATTCCTTCACGTGGACGCAGGACTGGCCTCCATCAGCCTCTCCGTCCACACCCCATCCCCACCTCCTCCCCGCCCAGGGTTCCCTGGTGGCTCAGTCAGTTAAGAATCTGTTTGCAATGCAGGAGACCTGGGTTCGATCCCTGGGTCAGGAAATATTCCCTGGAGAAGGGAATGGCAACCTACTCCACTATTCTTGCCTCAAGAATTCAATGGACAGAGAAGCCCGGCAGGCCACAGTCCATGGGTCAAAAAGCATCAGACACAATTGAGCGCCTAACACTTTAAGAATGCATGGGTTTTGAATGCATCACCTTAAACTTTCTTTACGTTGTATTTTTCCTCTCAAAACTAGAGAGGGAAAATTTTTACCGTCAAATTCATACAAGCAGCAAGGGCCCCATTAAGACTTTGTGGACCCTAGGCTCTTTTGCCTTTGGGGTCTCTTCCTCAATAAAAAATTAAATTAGAAATTATATTTTACAAATGCATTGGTTAAAGATTAATGCATTAACATTATTTTGGGTTGGCCAAAAAGTTCGTTCAGGTTTTCCATAATACCTGGAAACACTGGAATGAACTTTTCGCCCAACTCAGTGTATCGAAATTATTCTTTTTCTTTGATTCTAAAAGAAATTAAAATATTTTTATGGACTTTTATTCTGACCGTGTGCCTTGAAATCTTGCTGAATTCATTTATTCTAGTAGTTTTTAGTGGATTCTTGTAACGTACTTGTGATGTATACAAGAATGTATATATACTATATATAATTCCATGGACAGAGGAGTTTGGTGGGCTACAGTCCATGAGGTCACAAAGAATTGGACATGACGGAGCACGCACACATAGATATTCCTTTCATAGATACTCTTTATCAACTGGCGGAGCTCTCTTCTATTCCTAGTTTGTTGAGTAGTTTTATTGTAAAAGTATGTTTGCTTTCTCTTTAATTCCTTAACAGCCTGCAATGTCGTTCTGAGAATCCCTATTTTAGAGACAAGCAAACTGAGGCTCTGAAGTGACTTGCCTAAGACCACATAGACAGTAACTGACACATTCAATCCAAGTCCATAGGCTCCAAACTCTATGCCCAAAAGTTTTTCCAGCTATCTATTCCCATTTGCAGAGCACCAGGGTCCTGAAAGCAACTCTCTGAGGACATAGCTCTGTGTACATGGGGAAAATCCTCTAAGGGGCTAAATAAAATGACTCTCTCGCATCCTTCCTCTATGTGGACTAGACCAAACAGAAGATGTTTGAGCAGAGATGGTCAAAATTTGCCCACACTGCCTGTGCAGGGCAAAGCTGAGGTTTAAGGAAAAATAATAGTGATGACATAAGAAAGCCTGGATATATCAATCATCAGCAAGTCTAATGATGAAAATCCAAACTCAGAAGAGATTTTTTTTGGTTCTACAGCCTTAGTTCCATGATAAAAGTTAGCTAACCATTTGTGAGAAAGGTATCAAACTAACATATTGGCTAATTGCTTTCAGAAGTAGTTCTTAAAACATTAATGTTTTTTACAATCATTATTAAGTCTATATGTGGAACAAGGGATTTCGTTTGGGTATAAAACTGAAGACAAGTGCACTTAGCTGTTCACACTGAAGCTTGTCAATAAGATCACGAAGCTGTGGCCTGTTTCCACCACCCGAGGGCAGCATACCTTCCTCGAACCACGGAAGCAGAAAGCTGGGGATGACGGGGATTCAGTCGCTCAGTCGTGTTTGACTCTTGCAACTACATGGACTGCAACCCACCAAACTCCTCTATCCACGGGATCTCCCAGGCAAGAAATACTGGAGTGGGTTGCCACTTTCCTTTCTAGGGGATCTTCCCGACCAAGGGATCGAAATCGGGTCTCCTGCATTGCAGTTCAGTTCAGTTCAGTTGAGTCACTCAGGCATGTCCAACTCTTTGCAACCCCATGGACTGCAGCACACCAGGCCTCCCTGTCCATCACCAACTCCCGAAGCTTGCTCAAACTCATGTCCATCGAGTCAGTGATGCCATCCAACCATCTCATCCTCTGTCGTCCCCTTCATCTCCTGCCTTCAATGCTTCCCAGCATCAGGGTCTTTTGCAATGAGTCAGTTCTTCCCAACAGGTGGCCAAAGTATTGGAGCTTCAGCATCAGTCCTTCCAATGAATATTCAGGACTGATTTCCTTTAGGACGGACTGGTTTGATCTCCTTCATTCCAAGGGGCTCTCAAGAGTCTTTTCTAACACCACAGTTCAAAAGCATCAGTTCTTCACTGCTCAGCTTTCTTTATAGTTCAACTCTCATATCCATACACAACTCCTGGAAAAACCATAGCTTTGACTAGATGGACTTTGTCAGCAAAGTAATGTCTCTGCTTTTTATATGCTGTCTAGGTTGGTCATAGCTTTTCTTCCAAGGAGAAAGTGTCTTTTAATTTCATGGCTGCAGTCACCATCTGCAGTGATTTTGGAGCCCAAGAAAATGAAGTCTGTCACTGTTTCCATTGTTTCCCCATCTATTGGCCATGAGGTGATGGGACCAGATGCCATGATCTTCATTTTCTGAATGTTGAGTGTTAAGCCAGCTTTTTCACTCTCCTCTTTCACTTTCATCAAGAGGCTCTTCAGTTCCTCTTCACTTTCTGCCATAAGGGTGGTGTCATCTGTGTATCTGAGGTTATTGATATTTCTCCCGGCAATCTTGATTCCAGCTTGTGCTTCATCCACCCCAGCGTTTCTCATGATGTACTCTGCATTGCAGACAGTCTTTATCAACTGAGCCACCAGGGAAGCCAGGAAGGATCCTAAAGGTCACCCAGCGTAAGTGGTTCTCAGCCCCGGGAAGCCCACCCTCAGACAATCTGATTTAATTTGTCAGCAGGAGGCCTAAACATCAGTGGGTTTTCAAAGCCCCCAGGTGATTCTAGTCAGACAACTAAGGTAAGATTCACCCTCTAATCTGATCTGTAAAAACATCTATTTTTGAAGCTTTCCTGGTGATCCATTGGCTAAGAATCTGCCTGCTAATGCAGCAAACACTGGTTCAATCCCTGGTCTAGGAAGACCCCACATACCTTGGGGAAATTAAGCCACAACTGAAGCCTATGCGTCCTGGAGCCCGTGCTCCAAAACAAGAGAAGCCACAGCAATGAGAAGCCTGCACACCACACGGAAGAAAAGCCCCCACTCGCCACAACTAGAGAAAAGCCAGCACACATTAATGAAGACCCAACACAGCCAAAAATAAACATATTTATTTTATATATTTTTAAAATAAATATATCTTATTTTAAATATATATTTTTAAATAAAAATATCTATTTTCAGCATTAGAAAAGCAATAGAAAGTCATTTTAGTGGCGGTCAGTGCTATTGCACTGGACACTCCTTCAAGCAGCAGTGCTTAGGCGGCAGGACGGCAGGGTGGCCAAGGCCTGAGCTCTGGAATCAGTAGGGTTGGGCCCAAATCCTGACTCCATCACTTCCTGTCACGTGAGCTCCCAGTCTTTCTGGACCTTGAGTTCCTAGTCTGTAGAACAGGCACAGACCGGTAGGGGTGTTGTAAAGACTCAACGTGGGCAAACAACTTAGGACGCCTGGAACGGAGTAAGAGCTTAGCGACTTCCCTGGTGGCCCAGGGGCTGAGACTCCACGCTCCCAATGCAGGGGGCCCAGGATCAATCCCTGGTCAGGAAAATAGATTCCCACATGCTGTAACTAAGAGTTTGCATGCTGCAACTAAAGAAGATCCTAAGTGCCGCAACAAAAGATTCCACTTGATGCACCTAAGACCTGGCACGGCCAAACAAATGCATAAATGAAATGTTTCTCTTAAGAAGAAAGAGTAGACGCTTAGGAGATGGTGACTGTCATCACCATCATCACTGTCACCGCCCACACAGGGGTCAGAGGAGACATGTACATTGTGGGAGGAGAGAGAAGATTGACCTCTGGGTCACCACCGTGGAGTTGTGGCATGCGGCCGTGGAGCCAGACCTGCCTGGGTTCCAGCCTGACTCCATCACTTATCAGACATGCGACATCAACATGAACCTTTTGGTGCCTCGGTTTCCCTATCCAGAAAAAGGATGATCATCAATGCTAGTGTTTCTGCAGTGCTTTTTACGGGGTGGATCCGCAGGGCTCGGCGCCAACACCGGGCAGCACAGAAAGGACGGCTCAGCAAGCAGGAGTCCAGCCAAGTGGTAGTTACAGGGATAAAGGCCCCTGTAATTACGGTAGTTACAGGGACATGGCCCCACGCCTTCCACTGTTCCCCTCAAACAGTGTCCCCTCAAAGGACACTGCCTGCTAGCTGCCTCATCTGTGCCCCCTTGAAGATGCCCTTTTGCTCCTCCACCTCTGATCCCCTCTGACCTCCTTCTCCCAGAAGAAGACCAGAGGTTCTCCCAAAAGTCCTGAAAACTTCACATCACCCCAGGGCTGGGAGGGAACCTGCATTATGTGAAGTCTGAATTTCTCACCATCCCAGAGAATGGATATTCATTCCCATGAGGACCCGAGAAATAAA